ACTTGTACGAGTAAGACGTTTTCAATAGCCTTCGTATTCATGCATAGTGAAAAAATGAGAAAATATAGGTAGGCGTTGACTTGTTTAAAATTGACGATTAACAACTCTTTTTGTCCTTGTATGAATCTTGGTTTATTTAATTATCAGGGACTCCCAAACGCACAAATTTTCAAATGGAAAACTAAAGGCTTGTTATTTAACAGTATAACATGACTTATATGTCCAATGTCACTGATAGATATCTGGAGTTGATGAAAGCGTGCGAATATGTTTTTCCACAAAGTAATCATTTACTTTGTAGGTGTCATATATTCAAAGATATAAAAAAGATTTGTTGGCCATGTATCAAATCACAAAAGACCTGGGATTCTCTTCATCTCAAGTGGAAGAAACTAGTCGAGTCTCTTACACCGAGTGCATATATGCAAGCTTATGCAGACCTTCAGGCATTATTGTCCAAAAAATCCAAGAATTATTAATATATATCCTAAAATCTTATTTTCTTTAACAATTAATACTCACTCAGGCATACTAATTTGATTTTCATTCACATTTGAGATATATATATATATATATATATATATATATATATATATATATATATATATATAGCTATCTTTAAAATGTTTGGTTGGAAAAGTATCCCGACAAATTTTTATCATTGTGGACTGATACAGTTTTTGAAATTCAACAACAAATGAGAGCCAGCACGCTAAGATGAAAAAACACCTAGCATCCAGAAAATGTGATTTGGACAAATTCATATATGTTAATGAAACAGTCGTACAGTTAGAAGACACTACTATCAAAGATAGTTTCACAATGAGCATGCATTTGTAAGCCAAAGTTTAAGGATTAGATATTCAAATCAGTACGACATTATGTTTCAAAGCATGCTTTGGATAATATCTTAGAAGAGCTTCATCGTTCAAAAAGATTTGTACCAACTCCTGAGAATTGTGGTTGTCAATTGAAGACGTATTTTGAAATACCATGCGCTCACGAACACGTGATATATGTCGGTGCGTGTACGTTAAATCTATTGTATTAAATTTAAAAGTTTCATATGTATAATCACTCGATAATATTTTGTCTTTTTTACTACAGGTTCGCCTATTCTATTAGATTCAATTTATGTTTTTTGGAGAAAGCTTGATTTCAAGCCTTGTGAATCTGTGGATTATAGCAATCTTAATGTTGATCATCATATGCAAAAGTTTAAAGAAAAATTCAACAATCAACCAGATCATGTCAAATACAATTATATAAGAAGGATGGAAGAGATAATTGATCCATCAAAAATTATGATCAATTAACCTTCGGTAAGAAAAATAATCGTGGATGCCCAAAAGTGAAGCGTGTTCAGCATCAAAGCCAAGCTCCTCACTGATACAGTTGTTTAGACTTAAGTCAAGAATCACCTAGGCATAGTTCATCATTCATAGACTTGACCGATGAACCGGCAAGGCATAGTTCATTCTTCATAGGCACGAATGAGGAACCAATAAGCCAATGGTCGTAGCAGTTTGACATGAATGAGGAACCAATAGGCCAATCGTTGTACCAATTTAACTAGAAGGAGGAACCACGGATGGAACATAGTTCTTTGTTCAAGCAAATTCCATCCTTAAATCACGCATATACAAAATGTAAAGGGTGATGGAAATTTTGGTTTTTGATCGGTAGCCGTTTGTCTCGGGTATGATGAAAATGAGTGGTTTTTCATTCGTCATTAATTATATGACGAGTTATTGACTTCATATGAAGACTATTCTAGAGTTTTCACTGGATGCGATGGAGTACTTGAGTCATTGTCTTTCTTTATGACAGATAGGACAAAACCACCAAAACACTATATGTGTATGCTTGAGACGGTATTTTGATAGCCAACAAATTTGTTGTGATCGTCTAATTTTTTTTACCACAGTAGGCTTTGTAACTTTTTCCCTCTGTAGAGAAGTAATTGGGAGTTTCAAAATCATCATGTCCTTACATTTGCACATGTATACCTAAATCACTATCTGATAATACAGTCATAAGGAGAGTAAGTTAGAAAGAGAGTATCTGATGCCTCCCATTTCAGCATTATGGATCTGCCACAAAATCCTATCCGCAACTGAATGACAAACTATGTATAAGATGCGTCTAGAATTCTATAAGCAGCTTAAACCTGCAAAAGGATCTTTTATGACTATAGATGATTAGATGTTGCTTATTTTTTTTCTCAGATTTTATGTAATATTTAAAATTTAAAAAAAATGATGAAAATTTGTTTGGAATTTAATTTTCTTATAATAATATCTATATTTGTTTTACAATCAATGATATTAAGTTTATGGAAATTTAAGAAAAAAATGTATTCAATTTGTGGGTTTACGACTAAAAACAAAGATAACAAATGATGAAATTCTATTTGGAATTTTATTTTTTTATAATATTATTTATATTACTAATTTATAAAAACAATATTATTGTTATCTGTTTTTTATAAAAAAAATAAATTTAAAATTATTAATACTAATAAATTTAGTAATAAAAATGTAATTATTAAATAATAAAGTTAATAATGAATAGGTTATAATAAAATAAAAATATAAAAATTAGTCAAATGGTTATTATATAATAATGATAAAAAAATAAAGCTAGAATGATAAAAAAAATTATTTGTGTACCCCATTTGTTAGCGTAATAGTATCTATGTACCTCTAATTTGACATTTTATGTGAGGGAGAGGTATAACACCATTTACAAACGCATGAATATGGTCCTTTCAGTTGACCACCCGCCATTTGGACTTTTGATTGTTGTCCGGAGGCCCAAGCTGAAATGACCACTATTTTGACCCAATAAAACAAGTCTTCTTTATCTCCTGCTTCATGCTTGCTCCAAGTTTTTAGAGTATAGTTTGTTGATCCATCTGCCACGTATGTATGGCTGTTACAAATTTGTTAGTTAGTTGTTAGTTAGCAGATATTTATTTCCCGCTCTTTATCTTATATATAAGTAGTAGCTTGAGTTATTTGTAACTTAAGAAATTCATTCTCAATGAAAGATTTCTACATTCCCTCTTTAATCTCTTCAAACACAAACATGGTATCGGAGCTTGTTTAATCAATCATCATGATCATCATTTCATGCACCAAGCATCTATCAATTTTGCTGATAACACATTCTTATCTCAACAAGAATTAAATAAGCTAAGTAAATGTCATTGTCTTGAAATAGACTCAATGACTTGGATCATTGACACTGGTGCTTAGGGGTGTAAACGAGCCGAGCCGAGACCGAGTCTGACCAAGCTCGAGCTCGGCTCGTTTAATTTTGAGGAAGTTCGAGCTCGAGCTCGAGCTCGAGCTCGATTCGAGCCTTAAAATGAAGCTCGAGCTCGGCTCGTGAAAAATTTAGTAGGCTCGCGAGCCTAATCGAGCCTCTATGTGTGTGTGTATATATATATATATATATATATATATATATATATATATATATATATATATATATATATATATATGTGTGTGTGTGTGTGTGTGTGTGTGTGTCTCTCTCTCTCTCTCTCTATATATATATATATATATATATATATATATATATATATATATATATATATATATATATATATATAGGCTCGTTAAAGCTCGTTTAGGCTCGCGAGCCCAATAATTGAAGCTCGGTTCGAGCTCGTTTAATAAACGAGCCTCATATTTAGGCTCGAGCTCGGCTCAGGCTCGTTTAATTCGATCTCGAGTCGAGCTTTTAACGAGTCGATCCCAAGTAGCTCACGAGTAGCTCGGCTCACTTACACCCCTACTGGTGCTAGTGATAATATGTGTTTCAATAAGTCATTAATGTTAAATATTTAAAGGTTAACTAAACCTTATTGTATAACCCTTCCTAGTGGTCATCAAACTAAGGCTTATGAGGCTGGAAGTATCAATTTGATTGATAATGTGATTCTTCATAATGTTTTACAAGTTCCTTTGTTTGGATTCAATCTTTTACCCATAGGAAAGTTATGCAAACAGTTAAAATCTCTAGTTGTGTTCTCGAAAAATATTTTCTTCCTATTGTAGGGCCCACTACAACATTAACACCCTATGGCGACGACGAATTCGGACCCTATACCGACGACAAGTCGTGTCGGCATAGGTCAATAGTGTCGTCGGGATAGAGTCGTCGGCATAGTCGTGTCGGCATAGGTCAATAGTGTCGTCGGTATAGATGTCGTTGCGATAGCTTCACCGACGACAAGTCGTCGGGATAGGTTTTGTCAATCATATTTTCGGGGATAAAAAATAAAAGTTTTATTAATTACCTATAGCGACGACTTGTCGTCGGCAAACCTATAGCGACGACATGTTGTCGCCACATGCTTGGTCTATTACGATGACAAGTCGTCGCTATAAGGGTTTAACAGGAGCCAAGTTGAACTCTATCTTTTTCATTCTAATCAAAGAACACACAAAGGAGCTGTTCTTTATGTCACTTCAGACATATCTATTAATAACAATTGTTGATGATTATAAACTTTACAATATGGAAAGTAAAAGCATCATGATCTTAAGGGATGTCATATTTCATGAAAATGTTTTTCATATCAACTCCAAGCTGTTATGGATGGCAAATATGGTAAGGTTTATAGGCGACGCCCTAAAAAAGGTCAGGCAATGGATGGGGAGTAATAATCAATTCCTTTTTTATGCATGCTATAACTTAGGAGTATTTTGAAGTATTTTTATTATATATATTTTCCATTGAGGTAGGAGATTTGTTTTCCTTTTTTAAAGTATTTGTTCTCCCTATTTAAATGGTAGTTTATTATGAAATAAAGCATGCTTGAATCCCAATAAAACCCTAGTCTGTATTCAGTAAATCGCATAGCTTGGTCTCCTTTGCAGGGAGGCTAGGCTGTTCCAGCATTCACGGCACCTGTGAATGTAAGCACTGGTCCAATCACGAGATCCAAGTCCCGGGGCGTAACAAATTTGGTATCAGAGCCGCTCGTGATGACGACCCCAATGGAGGAACTTATGAAGAAACTCGAAGATTTCATGCTCCAACAAACCCAAAGCACGAGTGAATTAAAGGCAGCGGTGGAAGCCTTGCAAGCCAAGCAAGCGACACTGGAGGAAGGCTTATCTACACGAAGCCATAACAAACCCAATAACAAAGGGGGCTCGGAAGCTAGTGTGGAGGAAGAGATAGGGTTGGAGTCATTCGATGACCCAGCAGAGCAAAGTCAAGGAAGAGGCAAAGGGACAGGATTCGGCTTCGGCAGTGCTCCAGACGGTAAGGGACCGACAGCCACCACAGTGGTGGGCCGGGGGAAAGGTCCTGCTGGGGGACAACCAGTCGGATCAGGTCGGTTCATCAGGAAGACTAATGATTCTTGGCGTACCGAACAACCACAACCGTTCAAGCATAGTTAGGACTACCACAGAACCGAGGGATCTAACCGCCAGGAACGGCAACATAAAGACTGGGAAGATTATGAGGACACAGGGTTCCGCGGTAGCCGAGTACCAAGATTCACAAATATGGAATTCCCTACGTACGACGGAAAAAGCGATCCGGTAGAATGGTTACAGAAGTGTGAAGATTTTTTCGAAGAACAACAAACTCCAATAGATGCATGGGTTCAACAAGCCACATTCTCACAGGGACGAGCCAGTGTATGGTATCACAATCTTAGAAGAATGAAGGATCGCTTGAACTGGGGAGAATTCTCGGAAGAATGTAAAATCAGATTTGGGCCACCAATGAGCATGAACCCGCTAGGAGAGCTGACTCGTTTGCGACAGCTTAGAACAGTGGAGGATTATTGTGCAGGATTTGAAACATTACTAGGTCGAACAACGGGTGTCACGCCGAAACAAAGTATCTGGCACTTTTGTACGAGCTTAGTCAATGCAATGAGGTATGAGGTAGAGTACATAAAACCAAACACACTGTATTTAGCCATGAACTTAGCAAGGCAAATCGAACTCAAACTGGCAGAAGAAGGGCAAATTAGAAGTTCTGGAACACAACCATCATTGGGAAGCCGACCCTCGGCTGGGAGCAAAAACCGAGAGACAACAGGGGTGGCCACAATGAAACCTAGAAACCCGACTTGAAAACGACTCACAACATCGGAGATGGCGGAACGACGAGCAAAAGGACTTTGCTTCAATTGCGACGAGATGTTCTCGGTGGGACACAAGTGTTCAAAATTATTTTGTATCAGGATGGCTGATGACGATGAAGTAATAGAAGAGGTCACACCAGAAATCTCACTAAATGCCATCCGAGGAGAAAAAACCGATAAAACCTTCCAAGTTCGGGCAGTCATTGGATCTGGTATCGCCTGGGTACTACTCGATAGTGGTAGCACCCATAATTTTATTGCGAACAGGGCTGCTAACCAACTCCAGATTCAGGTGCATCATCGACCGGGCTTACGCGTCGCACTACCTGATGGTGGAAAGATGGCAAGTAGTGGAATAAGTCGAAACCTACAAATGACGGTACAAGGGTATGAGCTTTCAGCTGATTTTTTTTCCATTCCATTAGAAGGATTTGACCTCGTTTTGGGCATTCATTTGCTAAAACGGCTAGGGCGCATTTTGTGGGACTTCATGGTCAGGAAAATGGAGTTTACTATCGATGGTAGAATAATCAAATGGCACAGGGAGTCAGAGACAGCCATGTTAGCCAACCTTAACGGGTTGGATAATATGGAGCCAAACATCGACAACTTGCTGGAATCTTTCGCTGATATTTTTGAAAGACCCCAAGGTCTCCCTCCTTCTCGCACGTGTGATCACCAGATCAGACTCCACACCGGCACAGAACCGGTGGCGGTCCGACCTTACCGCTACCCCCACCTCCTTAAGGATGAAATTGAAAGACAATGCGCGAAAATGTTACAAAATGGGACAATCCGGCCCAATCAATCCCCGTTTTCCTCACCGGTACTTTTAGTAAAAAAACATGACGACTCGTGGAGATTATGTGTGGATTATCGGGAACTAAACGCCAAAACCATCAAGGATAAGTTTCCCATTCCCGTGGTGGAAGAACTTCTGGACGAATTACACGAAGCGACATTATTTTCGAAGCTAGATCTAGCTTCCGGTTACCACCAGATCCGCATGGCACCTACTGATGTCGAGAAAACGGCGTTCCGCACTCATCATGGGCATTTCGAATTTCTTGTTATGCCGTTCGGACTGTCAAACGCACCATCAACTTTCCAGAGCTTGATGAATGATGTTTTCCGTCAACAACTTTGTAAGTATGTTCTGGTATTTTTTGACGATATTTTAATTTACAGTCGAACAGAGGCGGAGCACTTCATCCACTTGCAAACGGTCTTTGGATTGCTACGTGCACATCGGTTGTTTCTAACGAAATCTAAGTGTTCCGTCAGGCGCAAGGAGGTGACATACTTGGTCCATATTATCCACCAGACAGGTGTATCAGTCGACCAAAGCAAGATTTCAGCAATTCAGGATTGGCCCAAACCCTACAACATTCGAACCTTGAGAGGGTTCCTCGGGCTCGCCGATTATTACAGAAAATTCATTAAAGATTATGGGATCATTGCTGCACCCTTGACCGGTATGCTGAGACGAAACGATTTTACATGGAGTGAAGAATCGGAGGGTGCATTCATGAAGTTAAAACAAGCGTTATCAGAATCTCCGGTTTTAGCATTACCAGATTTCTCAACCACTTTTGTGGTCGAATGTGATGCATCAGGTAGTGGCATTGGTGCAGTCCTCCAACAAAATAATCACCCAATTGCTTTCTTTAGCCGAAAACTTGCGGATCGTCACTATAAACTACCAGCATACGAGAGAGAATTAATTGGGTTGGCGAAGGCGGTGGCTTATTGGCGACCTTATCTATGGGGTCGTCACTACCATATCAAAACCGACCACTACAGCTTAAAGTTTTTATTAGAGCAACGCCTCACCACCTCCCCCAACAACATTGGGTCAGCAAACTTCTCGGGTTTGACTTTGAAGTAGAATATCGTGCAAGTTCCCTCAATCAGGTAGCCGATGCCTTATCACGACGAGAAGAAGAGACCGGGGCGAGTACCATGTGTGCCCTATCCGAAGTCCGTATAGAGATCTTCTGTACACTGCGACACGAGATAAATACCAATGCTGACCTTAGAGATTTTCGCGACCGAATTATGGCAGGATCCGAGGATGCTAGGTGGGGGGTACAAAATGATCTAATTTTATATGATGGGCGTGCGTATTTGCAACCAACCTCTCAGTTGGTTGATGTGGTGCTCTCGGGCATTCATGACTCAACACATGAAGGAAATCAGAAGACAATGGAGCGGGTTCGGCGTGATTTCTATTGGAAGGGATGGAAGAAAACAATTCAAGATTACATCCGCAATTGTGTCGTGTGCCATCGTAATAAATGGGAAACGTTGCAACCTGCAGGTCTCTTGCAACCGTTACCAATTCCAACCGCAATTTGGGCAGACATCTCAATGGATTTTGTGGAAGCCCTTCCGAAGGTTTCTGGAAAATCGGTTCTCCTAGTTGTCGTGGACCGATTCTCAAAATACGCCCATTTCATACCGCTCGGATACCCGTACACCGCAGAATCAGTAGCACGGGTATTTTTTCAGAAATTTTCCGACTGCACGGACTTCCCGAGACCATCGTATCTGATCGCAACAACGTTTTTCAGAGTGCATGCTGGAAGGAACTATTCCGTCTATCTGGGACAAAGTTGTCTTTCTCCACGGCCTACCATCCACAAAGTGATGGACAAACCGAAGTGGTTAATCGGACGATCGAGATGTATTTACGTTGTTTGACCGGAGATAGACCACGTCGTTGGCTTATGTGGGTTCCTTGGGCCGAGTATTGCTATAATACATCGTACCACACGGCACTTCAAACCATACCTTTTAAGCTTGTCTATGGCAGGGATCCGCCTCATTTACTTAATTATGACGGTGGTCTTTCCAAGGTAAAGGCGGTAGATCAAGTTCTGATCGACCGTACATCCTTCTTACAGGAGGCACGCACCCGTTTAGCTGAAGCACAACAACGCATGAAGGCAACCTATGATGGTCACCACCGCCTAGTTGAGTACAAGGTGGGCGATTGGGTTTGGTTGAAATTACAGCCATACAGGCAGCTGTCCGTCTCTAAGACAACTTTCACCAAGCTGTCCCCAAAGTTTTATGGTCCTTTCGGGGTTGTGGAAAAAATTGGGTCAGTCGCATATCGTTTAGCATTACCGGAAGGCAGTCGCATTCATAATGTGTTCCATGTTTCTTTGCTGAAACCACATCGTGGATCCCCACCTGATGTTGTTACTGAACTGCCACCGACCCTTGATGGCAAAACCTTGCTTACTCCCTTCAAAGTGCTACGGGTTAGAAATTTACAAGGCAAGCCTGAGTTGTTGGTTCAATGGAGTCCTGATGCTATTGAGAGTGCTACATGGGAAGATCGGGCCAACTTTCGGGATGCCTATCCCAACTTTGAGCTTGAGGACAAGCTCAATATGGAGGAGGGGAGTAGTGTTATGGATGGCAAATATGGTAAGGTTTATAGGCGACACCCTAAAAAAGGTCAGGCAATGGATGGGGAGTAATAATCAATTCTTTTTTTATGCATGCTATAACTTAGGAGTATTTTGAAGTATTTTTATTATAGATATTTTCCATTGTGGTAGGAGATTTGTTTTCCTTTTTTAAAGTATTTGTTCTCCCTATTTGAAGGGTAGTTTATTATGAAATAAAGCATGCTTTAATCCCAATAAAACCCTAGTCTGTATTCAGTAAATCGCATAGCTTGGTCTCCTTTGCAGGGAGGCTAGGATGTTCCAGCATTCACGGCACCTGTGAGTGCAAGCACTGGTCCAATCACGAGATCCAAGTCCCGGGGCGTAACACAAGCTTCAATTTCCACACCTTCATTTCCAGATGACAAAAAATACCCTTTCTGATGAAGAACCTTCAAGATCAAACACACAATCCGATATTCCATTTGACAACCCTTCTCAACAACATATATCTCCTCAATAGTCTCCTCTACAAGACTACAACCACCATCAAGAAGGAGCACCAGAATTCATTCAACTCCTTCTTACTTGGAAGATTATATTTGCACAAATGCTCTTTTCAATAGACATCAGATTCATGCCTCTCATTTGCATTATGTATGCACACTATGACTAAAACTATGTTACCTAAACATGTTTGTTTTAGTACTCCATCCACAAATAGCAAGCAGTTGTTATGCAATATGGATAAATTCACTGAACCATCGACATATGAAGAAGCAACTTCTATTCCTGAATGGCAAGAAGCCATGGAAAAAGAAGTTGAAGCTTTGGAAGCAAATAATACATGGACTCTTGTTGATAGTTAAGCTAATCCGCTTCCTGTTTGGTCCAATTGAAT